CAACTTGGGCAAGTGAAGCAATGTCCTCCACAACTAGATTGAAGAACAAAACGACAGCAACTTGTCTGTTCCCCTTCCCCCAATCCCCCAGCACTGTTCCCATCCCCCCAATTCCCCAATAAAAATCTTAAAAAAAAAAAAGAACAAGAGCCTTTCATTGATGGCATTTAAAAAAAATTGTAAAAAAAAATATATTACAATAAGAAAAAGCAAGATTCAAAGAGCAAGATTCTGAGGAAAATCGCTTCATTAAAAAGTGAGAGTCCCTTGCTCAAATTTCAGATCTGGAACCAATTGTCTGGAGAGGTGCCCATGTTCCTCAGAGGAAGCACCCTATAACATGGTAGCAAACATATATCATAATGCTTACCTTAGTCCTTCTCCGAAGTAACCTATGGACATTTATTTGGGTGACTATACACTGGAGATAGGGGAATACACAGATATTTTTAGGACTATTGGATACAGATTTCTGAGTTGACGTTAATTCCCAGACACTCAAAGCATCGCCATGGCCCTTCTGTTGGGATAGGGGAGGAGAGTACTTACTGGGTCCAGGTAATAAATGAAGTCCTGGCTTACATCTAACTCACAGTGGACCATTGCATCTGCAGACCTACCCAGTGGTCATTTCCCCAGTCTCTAAGTGTATAATTAGAGTTCATATACTTAGAACTTGGACCGATCTCCACTTTGGGTCCTTGGCTTATGTGGTTAGAGCTTTCATAGTGGGGAAAACCAAATGGAAACCTCTGCCTCTGCCCTCTCTCACCAACCAATATGTTAAATTGAAAACAATATTGCACCCTAGGGGGATGATGGAGTTAGTGCCACTATTAAAGATTTAAAGGATACAGGGGTTAAAGGGCGGTGGTTCTTATCATGTTTCTGTTTAGTTCATCATTCTGGCCACCACAGAAACTGGCTGGGTCCTGGTGAATGAATTTAAACTACCACAAGTTCAACCACACCAAGTTTAACTTCACATAAGAGAAATACAGCACCTTGTGGGCCTCTTTGGGGTCTGGCGGTGACACATTCCACACCTAGAAATACTTCTCTGGCCCATATACTGGGTGACACAGAAGGCTGCCAACTTTGAATGGGCCTAGGGCAGGAAAGAATCTGCAGCGAGCCCAAACTATATGGGAGCAGCTTTGTTGCTTGGACCATATGATCTGGCTGACCTATGGTATCCAAGGTGTCAGTGGTGGGAAAAAGATGCAGTGTGAGGATCAGGTCCTTGGGATTTGGGAGTAAGGGCATGGAATCTGAAATAGAATTATACTACTTTTGGAAAACCACTCCTGGTGAGTTACAGGACCCTGTTAGGCACCATAAAACTCATTTTGACATAGTGTTTCAGTTCCTTTACTGCATAACCCACAAAACTGCCAATTTTCAGTGTGGCCCAGAGAAAGAATATACTTTGAAATAGGTCTGGTCTACCATGCATACTGTCCCTTGGGCCATATGACCTAGCATGTCATATGGTGCTTGAAGTGTCTGTGGCAGATAGAAATGTTGTATGGAGCCTTTGGAAGGTCCCTGTGTGCAAGTCACAGTACATTTCATGAGGATTTTGGAGCATAGCAATACATCTTCTGCAGATAACTATTCTTTGAAGAAAGTTTCTAGCTTGCTATTGACCCTAATCAGGGGTCCTCCCCTTCAAAGTTAATAACTATCCTGAGTTCTAATACCAGAGAGGAGAATTCCACAGATTAGATGGTGTGTTTGTGACCTTGGGAAGACAAACGAGAAAAAAAAGGGCAATTACAAATTCTAGGAAAATAAAAACCTAAGCAAAAAAGTAAAAAATTATTGAAAATCATTTGTATCCTTATGAATTTCCTTTCTTTATAACTTTCTTGTTCATATTATTGTTAGAGACTATGCATTTTAACTCCTATATCTGAATTAGCTGTGGGTTTGCTTCTCCAGTCCACTTTTTCCTTAGTTTTGACTCTGGGTGTTCCTGGCAATTTTTAATTAAATATCACTGTGCATGAGAAATTGTACAAGCTCTAGATGATCTTTACTTTCTCATAGGCCATTATAGTAGGGGCAAATTATGTTAATTCAGTTAGTGAGCAAATTCAAGATGGGGTATCAATCTTTTAAAGATTTACTTTCCCTTAATTCCTAGGTAAAATCCTTCAGAGATGCCAACGGAATGCCTGTGGTATTTACCAGGATCCATCATCACTGGTGGGATCTGAAACCAAGTTTGATCTGCTTGGCACATAATTATGCTGAAAGCTCTGCTTAGTACTTCAGGCACTTGACTGCTATGCATCTCTGAATCTGTCCCAAGCCATTTACAAATCAGTGAGCTCCTTGTGGGAAAAAGTAGCTCAATCTATCGGGCTTATTCTCTTCACTTCTTTTGTTTCCACAATCTTGCCATTCAAGTCTCACTGTGTCAGGTCAGGGTTCCCTTGGGTCCTTGAAGCCAGCTGCAGTTCCAGTTCCTTGCCACATGGGCTTCCTTAACATGGCTGCTTCACATCAGGCTAGCAATGAAAATTCCTCTCCAGTCTGTTAAAATGGAGTCATAGAACATAACACAGTCATGAGAGTGATATCCCATCACCTTTGTCATAATCTATTGACTAGAATAGGGATTGGCAAACTGTGGCTTGTGAGCCACATGTGGCTCTTTGGGTACGTACATGTGGCTCTGAAGTAAAATTAAAAATGAAAATAAAACTATCATAGTTTCATTTATAAAATTTTTAAAGGATTTAAAATTTTTCCTTATTTGTAAAAATACATTTATGGCTCTCGAATAATTTTTAAATTGTTGAAAGGGACAGGATTGGCTCTTCCATCTCAAAAGTTTGCTGACCACTGGACTAGAAGAAAGTCTTAGTTCTGCTCACACTCAAGGGGAGAGGATTATATAAGTCATAAACCATTGGGGCCATCTAGGGTATGCCTGATACAACTGTTGATAACAGAACAAGAAGAAGGTAATATGAACATTCACTAATATCACAGTGAAAAAAGCTTTCTATTTGGTGTCAGAAGTCAGTTTTGTCTCATTACTTGTGGTACTTTTGACCATTCACTACATCTCTCCTCAACTGCAAAATGTGTTAGTAGGATTTGTCACAGGAGTTGGTGTTTACAGAGCAAAGAACTAAGGAGATGCTTTTTTATATACTAAAAAACCCCCACATAAATTAAAATCACAGGAAATCTATTCTCAAGATCCAAAATATATACTCAAAACCATAGACTCAGGCAACCACATGGAAAATGAATAGGTAATATGTATACATACGTGAAAATGAGGTCATTTTTAGAAGAGAACAATGTCATATATTGAAGACAAAGCTGAATGGGAAAATGGATAGGAAAACAATCAAGAATACACACGATGACTTTAAATTATTTATTTTATTGGTAGTTTCTGGAGTCTAAATTTAAAAATCATCAACAAGGGCCGGCCGAGTGGCACGTTGGTTAAGAGTTGGCTTGGGATGCCAGAGGGCCCCAGTTTAGTTCCCACATATGAGGGCCAGTGACACTGCCCTCTACAGCTAAGATGCTGAACAACAGCTCAACCTGGAGCTGGGCTGCCATGAGTCACCGACAATGGTGTAGTCTGCAGCCCCTGCTGCAGTGGGTTGCCATGGGCTACCTTATGTAGCCAGCAGCCAGAGTGAGCAGCCAGCAGCCGCAGTGAGTGGCTGTCCAGAAGCCGGAGACTGATCTGCCTCGCCCGGGAAGAGCACAATGATGGTGCCAACTTGGGCCAGTGAAGCAACATCCTCCACAACTAGACTGAAGAACAAAAGGACAGCAACTTGTCTGTTCCCTTTCCCCCAATTCCCCAACTAAAAAAAAAATCAACAATCTCTATAACCCAAATGGTAATTGCTTGATAATTTGATGTATTTCCTTCCTAGCTTTTTGTTCTCCGTGTCTACCTACCTACTCCCACCCCCCCACACACACATAGCCCTAAAAAGACACAAATATAATACAAATATATGTTTATGTATATTTGTGCATATAATTTTATCCATCATAACACTGCTATATTTCTACCACCCACAATCACAGATATAAATGGTGAATATCCATCCTCTATGTATTTATTCACAATGTAAATCATGTGGTACATTGTTTTATAGTCTGTTTTTTCACTTGGCAGATTACCATGAACATTTCCCCAAATCCTCAAACATAATAAAGGATAATTCTTAATTGGTGCATACTATTCCACTTTTCTTATATATAATTTTAAATCGATTGCTTATTGGATATTCAATTTTCTTCTATTTTTTTGCTACTTTAATATTGCTTTTATGGGCGATACACTGAAAATTAAAAATCTTTTATTGCATCATGAAATGAGCCATAAAATATAACCATAAGATAATAATTATTCTTTCTCAAAAGACAAAATATTAAGTTATAAGCACTGTTCCTAATTGAGGTGTGTTAAAACTTACTATATGCCTTTTCTGTAAGGGGTCTGCATGTCTGCACTGAAGATGCTAATATGTGTAAGATCTCGTTTGAGCTCCTTTCGGGGATCATGCTAACTCATCCTCTCTCACTCTATTTAAGGAACAACTTTTCTATTTGTTGAAGAAATAAACTGGGAGTTTGCCCTAGCTAGGATTACTATTTTATGCTTTATTATGCTGTTCTTTCACAAATATCATACTCTACTTCACAGTGAACATATCTGAATGTTATAACTAAGTGCTTATTTGCAACCTCTGCACCTTTTTCAAAAAATGTTTGGTATAGAGTATGGAACATATTTCTCTCATAATTTCTAGCACAGTTTTCTAAACTCATTAAATTCTTAGTTTTTCCTCAGCATAAATAATGATAGGGAATGACATTTAAATCCTCTCTAAAGGCTTTCCCACATCAATACACTCACAGTTTTGTAACTTGAGTTATTCAATATACAATTTGTCACTCATGGGTAAGAATTCTCGGTGAAAAATTGATCACATCTATTATATGCTTCTTCAATCATACTTTGGTGCCTTTTTTATTAAGTTAAATGAACACTAAATAATATGTGAAGAGTGTATGACACTTTTGACATTTATAAGGTTACTTCCCAGGATGAATTGACATATAATGAGGTATAACTATTAGTAAAATTATCCCACTCTTAAGTGTATTAAGAGGTTTAATCTCCTGAATGACTTCTCTGATGTTTAATGAGAGTTGACTTCCCACTGAAGGCTTTGCCACATTCTCTGCATTCATAGGGTTTCTCTCCTGTATGAGTTCTATGATGTACAATGAGAGTCGATTTCACACTGAAAGCTTTCCCACATTCACTACATTCATAGGGTTTTTCTCCTGTGTGAATTCTCTGATGTTTAATGAGCGTTGACTTCCTACTGAACGCTTTCCTACAGTCACTGCATTCATAGGGTCTCTCTCCTGTATGAATTCTCTGATGTTTAATCAGGGGTGACTTCTCACTGAAGGCTTTTCCACATTCATCACATTTATAGGGTTTTTCTCCTGTATGAGTTCTCTGATGTACAGTAAGGGTTGACTTTTCACCAAAGGCTTTCCCACATCTTCTACATTCATAAGGTTTCTCTCCTGTATGAGTTCTATGATGGACAGAGAGGTGTGATTTTCCACTGAAAGTCTTCCCACATATGCTACATTCATAGGGTTTCTCTCCTGTGTGGATTCTATGATGAACAGAGAGGTGTGACTTTCCCTTGAAGCTTTTTCCACATTCACTGCACTCATAAGATTTGTCTTTTGTATGCATTCTGTGACGTTTAATGGGAGTGCGCTTCTCATCAAAGGGTTTCCCATGTTTACTGCACTCAGGTTTCTCAACCCTATGCATCCTTTGATGCATCAGCCTGGGCTTTCCACATTTGATACCTTCATAAAATGCTTGTCTAATGTGTGTTTTTTCATGTCTAATAAGATGATACGAACTCTTAAAAGCTTTTGCACATTCACCGCATACAAATGGTTTCTCTCCTGTATGAGTTCGCTGATGTTTAATCAGAGTTGACTTCTGGATAAAGGTTTTCCCGCATTCACTGCATTCATAGGGCTTCTCCCCTGTATGAGTTCTCTGGTGTGCAATGAGGGTTGACTTCTGGCTGAAAGCTTTTGCACACTCACAACATTCATAAGGTTTCTCTCCAGTGTGAGTTCTCTGATGTACAACAAGATTTGCTTTCTGGATAAAAACTTTTCCACAGTCAGAACATTCATAGACTTTCTCCCCAGTTTGAATTATCTGACTTTTATTAAGGGCTTGCTTAGGGTGGAAGGTTTTTACATGCTGATTAGGTTCAAAGAATTTCTCTCCTGGTTGAGTTTTATCAAGATTAGAATGAAAGCATAATTTCCAATATGTCTGACATTTATCATCTTTCTTTCTTACATAGCTTCTATTTTTACTAAGAAACTTTAAATTATGTTTTGAACATCTTTCCCATGAATAATATTTAGGGAATCTTTGTCTTATAGAAACAAAGTCTGTGCTGAGATAAATAATTTTTCTGCATGTTTTGAATTCTTGGCCACTTTCATCTTTCAGTGTTTCCTTGTCTATAAATGCAGCTTGCCACAGAGGTTTATCTTGGCTTTCCTTGTGGTTATCATTCTGGTCACCAACTTTCCAGAATTCTAGGGAAAAAATGCAGTGAATCATTAAATTTGTAAATGTTTTCCACTATACTGTTCTAGGACAAAATTAATTCATAAACATCCTGCTGTGAATTCCTATTAATGAACTTGAGCATACATGGATGGACCCTCCCTATGCTCCACCACCACCACCACCACCTCCTCCCCTAACTGAAAATACAAAGAAATGTTGGTCCATATATATATATATATATATATTTAGCTAAATATATATATATATAAATATATATATATATTTAGCTGAGCCATCCTGCCAACAGCTCAGTGGTAGCTCAGCTCAGGCCGTGAATTGAACCGGTGACACTGTTGCTCAGAGCTCACACTCTTGAGTCAGCTAACAAAAGTAATTTAATACGCAGTCAAGCTCAATATCAAGAAAATAAATTTATCAAAAGTGAAGTGGGAATTTAAAATAATGGGGTGAAGAGAAACTGAAGCTTGAGGATTTGCAGGAGAATCCAGACCATAGGGCATAAATGTTCAGGAATGTAATGTGCGCTAAAAGCTGGAATCACAAGGGGCTTCCATGTTTGCTTAACAGGAACTAGAAAAACTCCCCACTGGCCAAGGGAATTGGAAAGAAGGATATTATATATAAGAAATCAACAACCTAGTTTTGTAACCCAGTCCAAATTATTATCAGTGTAGTACAGAGACAACAAGCTGAAAAATTAACCTAAATATTGCTCCTTTTAATAGTAAGTATATTTCCAAAATGTATATTCTTATGTTTTTATAGCTTAGGGCTCATAGAATGTCTATGGAAAACCAATTATTATGGAAGAATTCACAGTAAACAATTTAAAACCTTACTAGGAAATGAATCATCATTAGAAAGAATCAGCAGGTACATTTAAAGATACTCGGTACATTTAAAGATACTCCCACATTCCTAGAAGTATATCTAGTAGAACTACATGGACTTTAAAATAAATACATTTCAAGTATTCAAAGAAATCAGGTAAAAACTGGACTATGGGTGAAAAACAGGAAAAAAACAAATATAAATATAAAACAATTTATATAGGTGTTATAAAAAAGAAACTAGAGAGGTTGGATAGTAGACAGAGGTTGAACTAGTTGCAGGTTAAGACAGATTAAGATGAATTAGATGACAGATCTTGGGAAATCACCCAAAATGTAGCATAAAGAGCTAACAACATGGAACTATAGTAAGAGAAATAGAGAAATGATAAGTTTCTACATAGGTTTAACATAAAATCCAAATGGAAGAATAGAGATAAAGGGAGAGGGGTGCTATGCCAAGAAATAAGTTAGCAGAGAAGTTATGAGATTGCTATACTTAGAAAGTCCTGCTTGCAAGGTTGGCCCTTGGCTGACATCTGGGAATTTGGCGTTAAGGAATGTCTCCACCATTCTGTAACTGATAAGGCTACTTATACAAACAATATAATCCATGTTGAACTTTTCCTTTTCTACTGGGAGTGTGGCATTTTGGTATGTGCTAGGCAGAATTTGCGTATCTGACCAGCCTCCAATAAAAACTGAGGGTGCTTAGTCTCTAATGGGCTTTCCTGGGCATAAACATCATGCACATTGCTGAATTTTCACTGCTGGGAGAAGTGTGTTCTGTGTGCTTCGTGGTAGGGAGAGAGTATAAGGAATCCTATACATGGATTCCACCAGACTCTACTAGTGTTTTTTTTCTCTCTTATGATCTAGCTTTATATCCTCACTACACTACTGTAATAAATCTTAGATGTAAATACAACTATATGCCGATTCCCATGAGACCTTCTCGAGAAACTCTGAATGTGATAGTGGTCTTGGCGACCTCCGATCAAATCAAAATGTAAAGAAATAATGACTGAGTTTTCTAAAATGGAGGAAAGGATGAATCCGATCCATGAATGTTCAGAGTCCTTAATATAGTAAATAAAAGCAAATCTGAAAACTATCAGTGTCTGCAGGCCCCAGGAGGGTGGCGACTAGTCTTGGTGTGCTCTGAAACTTCTGCTGACTAGCTCCAGTCTGAGCACTGGCACCAAACCAGAATCTACATTAACCTAGTGAACACAACTTGTCCCACTCTGGTGACTCCAAGACCCCTGCCATACCCAACTCATGCATCGCACAAGGCTTTATCAGCGGCTGAACCTCACAGGGGCTGGCAGGTGGCAGCAGGCCTCAGGGTGTCCTGCCCCAAACCCAGAACTGGTGGCAGGCATCTTCGGTTCACAGCGTGGCCTCTCCCACATGTTTCCAGGTTCAGCACAGGCAGTGACCAACTATGGATCACTTTGTAGCTCCAATTAGGTAGTCCTCTGCTGGTCACAGGTAGTGAGTGACCTGGGCTTGCACCAGAGGCCCTCCCAAGAGGCCCCAGAACCAACATACTTAAAGGTTGGCTTCAGACCACAGCACATCACCACCCAATTGGCCCAAGAGGCACACCCAGAAGGCGGTCTCAGCAGGCACCAGAGCCTGCTGGGGCAAATCCCACTCAGTCAGGTAGAGCCCTCTGCACAGCAGCCCATAAGCTGTGGACGTGGCCAAACCCCAGAGCCAGTCAGCCTGAGGGTCAGTCCTATCCAATGACATACCAATAGCAATCAAGGCTCAAACATAGCAGGAGGGGACACACAATCCACACAAGGGACACAACTGGAGCATCTGGAGCAGATGGCAAGGGAGACTGTGCCACTGGGCCCCACAGGAAACCTACTATGTAAGGCCACCTGGCCAAGACTCAGAGATGTAGCAGATCTACCTAATACATAGAAAGAAACACACAGAGACAGCCAAAATGAGGAAACACAGAAATTAAAGAACAGGGGAAAAATCCAGAAAAAGACCTAAATGAAATGGAGGCAGGCAATCTACCAGATAAAAAGTAAAAAAAAAAATGGCTATAAGGATGCTTAAGGAACTTAGTGACAAATTCAACAAAGAGACAGCAAGCATGAAAAAGGACATAGAAACCATAGAAAGAACCAGTCGGAAGTGAAAAATACAATAACTGAAATGGAGAATGCATTAGAAGGAATCACCAGCAGACTAAATGAAGCAGAAGATCAAATCAATGATTTAGAAGATAAGAGAGCAGAAAGCACCCAAGTGGAACAGCAAAAAGAAAAAAGAATTGAAATAAATTAGGAGAGTTTAAGAGACCTCTGGGACAACATCAAGCATGACAACATTCGCCTCATAGGGGTACCAGAAAAAGAGAGAAAGCAAGGAATTGAGAACCTGTTTGAAAAAATAATGACTGAAAACTTAACTAACCTGGCAAAGAATATAGACATACAAGTCCAGAAAGCACAGAGAGTCTCAAACATGATGGACCCAAAGAAGCCCACACCAAGACACATTATAATTAAAATGGCAAAAGTTAAAGACAAAGAGAGAATCCTAAAAGCAGCAAAAGAAGGGAAACTAGTTACTTATAAGGGAGCTCCCATAAGATTGTCAGCTGATTTCTTAACAAAAACTTTGTGGGCCAGAAGGGATTGGGACGAAATATTCAAAGTGATAAAAAGTAAGGGCCTACAACCAAGACTACTCCACCCAGCTAGGTTATCTATCATTTAAAGATAAAGAGCCTCCCAGACCAAAAAATGTTAAAGTAGTTTATTGCCACCAAACCAGTATTACAAGAAATGTTAGAGGGGGCCAGCCGAGTGGCGCGATAGTTAAGAACTCGCTTGGGATGCCAGAGGGCCCCGGTTCGGATCCCGCATATGAGGGCCAGTGAACACTGCCCTCCACAGCTAAGATGCTGAACAACAGCTCTACCTGGAGCTGGGCTGCCGTGAGTCACTGGCGACGGCGTAGGCTGCAGTCCCTGTGGCAGTGGGTTGCCATGGGCTACCGTGTGTAG